TGGATTAATGGATATATGTATATTAAAGTCGGTCTTTAAAAAAGACGAAACTATTTCAGGAAAGCTTTTCAGATCAGCGAGCCATACAAATCTATAGGTACGCTGAGTATCCTTTTAAAATACGTTGGGCTATCAACGACAACAACGTAATCGTATAACCCTAATCAAGCATCGTCCACACTTTCAAGATGTCTGACCACAATAATATGCCGGTATAAAAAGGTCGATCAAAAGGGTTATATATTTTCTCTCACAAGCTAATGAGCCTTTTAAGACCGGAAACCCTGTCAAGGAAAAAGACTAGCGTTGTCAAGTAATTAGACGATTTCCCGCAGACAGAAAAAAATAATGCAAAATATGGTGGGAGGACTAGTCGTGTGGGACCGGTAGGCAGGCGCTGATTCAGGCCTAATTTGGACTAAGAATCAAATAGCCGGGAACACTACAAGGCAACATAAGGCTTGCGCCACTTGATTAGACTTGCAGAAAGGGCAATTTACCACCGGTCCCCTCAAAGAGAAGGTAAACTTTTGACAAAAGACTTGTGGGCCTGGTACCAAAAAGACTGTGAGTCGGCCGGTTCAAGCCTAAAATGGACTAACGGATAATCGAATACACCCTGTATGACCGGCAACTCGCTAAAGGAACACCAGTATCGCGAAATAATTAGCGTAAAAAAAATCGATTCTTCCCGGTCTCTAAAAAAAATTTAAAATATCGGAGACAAGCATTGTGGGCAGGTAGGCACAGGTTGACGCATAAATTGGACTAATCATATGCCCGATACATGTTGACAGATTCCGCTGGCCCAACACCTTGTTTGAGCACTGAGCAGACGACCAGATAAGATTCTACAAGCTGATCAGTTGTCCTTCAGTCTCCGATCTGTACTTTTAGCGGGAAGTGCAATCAACTTTGAGGTTATATCACAGCTATTTAGATTAGTAGTAACCGTCCATCGCGTTCTCTTTTCCTTACGAATGGCCCCTCTTTTTTCAACGCGTTTCGACGCCAATGGCATCTACTTACTTTTTTGTAAGACAAATGTTCTTGATCCTGTTTTGTTACTACATGACTTCGGGTCGGCATTTTGTTAGATAGTATTATCAACTGATTATCCAAAGACTGATGGCATCTGGGTCTACAATTGAACTCGCACGGGATCGAACCAATAATTTTCACATTTGAAGGCGAGCTCTATAATCGCTAAGGCAATGGTCAACGGCAGTGTGCAGGATACAAGTTGGTAAAGTGGACATTCCATTCCCATATGATAAATATAAACTTAACTTTAAACCCCATTTTTACTAAGAGTGAGTTGCGTGCGACATTTTTATGGTTCAGTGTTTTAACGACGCCTTATGGATGAACCTTTAATATTTCAAGATGGCAAAGTGATGCCAAAACAACGTAACATTTGTTAAACCTTGGAGCTGGTTGACGAAAGTAATTTATTGGTTTAGTAATGACAAAGATTACTCAAAATGTTGGCGTACTGCGTTAGTTTATGGAAAACATGAAGAATTGCATTCCTTAGTACGTCTTCCAAAAGATACCAACAATTTTCAGAAGATGTCAATCAGTTTTTGAGTTTGATAAATAACCTAAACGTCAAATACTGAGGCTAAAGCCATTCAAAGCACATTTTAAATTTCACTGATCTGGAAGTTCTAAATTTAAATATTTATTACTGCAGTGTGCTGCAGCTACTAGCGTACTGTCGTTCGTAAAAACGGGTAAACTCTGTTCCAACAGATTTTTAGCACAATGACACATTATTTAAACAAGTAACAAATTAAACATAATTTTAAAAACTAAATCCGTCAGAAAAAGTTAAACATAAGCCCCCACAAGTGCAACAGTGCAGTGCAACATAGTAAAGAGCTTTGCTTATCGCGAGAGCATTAAGATAAGAGCCAATTCTAAAAGAGGCCAAATGACTTCCTGGTCTAAGAGGAAAACTTTCTCCAAGTTCAAACTAAAATTAATTTTACAAGTGGCTTACAGACAGATCTTTTATTATTTATGTTGATATTTTACAATGTACCGGATGAAATTATATTACAATATGGTAATCCTCGGTTGAACAGTCACGAGATCCACAAGACAACTACAATATTTACAGCTTAAATCATACAAGTGGCCTAAACAAAACATTGAAACCAGAACAAAGAGTTTGCGGCGTTTAAAAACAAAGCCTTTGTCGTGGAAAGTTTCTCGAGTGCAGCAAAGGCACTTTGCACTCGCGTCAAACATTATATTTCTCCTACAGTTACTGTGTCATATAAATAATTAGTCTTTTAAACACTATACAACACGTTTTTATCCAAGCGGTGAACTAAATGGGAAACGCTGCCCCAGCTGATTGTAGTCGTAGTATCTTGTTGCCAACTATTTTTTTTAAGCGTACACATATTACGTGCCTAATATAAGCACACTGTTTTGTGTTGTTAGTTGGAGAGTATGGCAAAAAAAGAGTGCGGCAAAAGTAAAATTATTGCGACAAAAGTAGGCAAGTGAAGCAATTTGCTATTACCTATAATATTGGCGTACTATAATCAGTGCAAGGTAGGCAACTTTGTCAGGTAACTGTAGGAAAACTATTTTTCCAGATGTTAATGTTTGCATTACATACATACATTGTTTTTTATAACGAGAACGAGAGTTATTATTTATATTTGGTAATTCTCTTGCCGTTTACAGATAAGAGTAAAAGTGTTGAAAGGAAGTAAAAATGAATTTTACACAAATATTTAAAAATTTACAAAAAGTAAAATACTTATAAATTTTACATTTACGGCTTAACTACGACTAACTACTTACGGAGAGATCCTTTAATACTAAAGTAGACAACGCATCATTACCGTCCATATTAATAAGTCCAAGTTTTAACCCATTTTAATTCAAAATTATATACGTGATGAAATAAAGGGTTTCTCTGTTGCATCACTTTTCCAGCCGTCCTACTCAACCGAGTTTACGATTGAGGTGTCACAATTGAAAGCTTGATCTAGTGGAGAGAGAAACGAATGGTGTGTGCAAATCAGACATTCCAACATGCATACATATCAAGCTTTAAACTGTTTTAATTATATAAGGACAGAATTGAATAAACCCCTCACGGTACGCAACTGTACAGTTTTGATTTCCTCTTTTAAGTTTTCGATACTTAAATATTTTCGGTGGGGCATAAAAGATGCTACATTTTTTTGCCAAAGTTAACTTTATAACTTCAAGTTTACTTTTTGAAGTTGTCCTTTACATTGATCTCGAAAGATCGGTGTGTAGGCCTACAAACATCAGCAGACTCTGGCTCAATTCAAATGCGTTAATTTTAATCCTAAAACCGGCTACCATGGGATATCTACTCTCCGAAGTCACAGGGTTTGCATAAAAGCAGCTTAGTGTTATTTCGTTTGAATTGTATCGTATAAAAACTAATATGACAACAACAAATAAGGCTCACTACAGTCTCTCCTTACAGTGGAAAGTTAATTCGTTAGAAACACAGTTTCTGACCTAGCATCAAGCTCGATTTCAACACCAGATCAATCGATATATTAATCAAAAATGTTAATTTTTAGTAACTCCCCACGGTTATTTATTTATTTCCAACTCAAGAGAGGAATGGCCGTTTCACTACCTCGTGGCTTGGTCAAACAGCATGCGGTGGTTGCTATGGTGTCGCGCGTCGATGGCAATGGCACTGAATTGACTGGATTTGCTGAGCATTAAATGTCATCTCTGAAAACCCTATAATCCGGGGTAAAATGTTGAAATATCCCATGCAATGGTTTCACGTTCAAACCATTGTTACACTAATCTGTCGAGGATTTAATAATACTGATTCGAAAATCAATGCTTACCAATTTATCGTATAAAGAGATATTTTATCGGGAATCGACCAGAAAGTATATAACACCAACAATTCGGTAGTACCTTTGACTATCAACAAAACAGTATCCAATAGTCAATGGTAGTACTATGTTTATGTATATATAAAACAAACAACAAAGAATTATCATCCTTAGAAAAATGAAAACAATTTAATATCTGGTGCGACGGGTCATAACACAAATTGTATCACAACACTAGCAAAACAATAAAACTTAAAATTCGTTGCACTAATAATTTAACAACCAAAGGGTGCTTAAACATTGCAGTAACGAAAATAAGCATGGGCATCCAATATAAAGACGAAATACTAGTTTATCAGGATACGTTGAGCATTTTTTGTGTTGAGTTGAGGTAGGAAAATGTTTGCCATTTTAACTAAAATAGGATTTTTAAGGGATTCCGCAAGTCTTGTTTTATGATAACAACAACGCGACAAGACCGAAGTAATTTGACGTTTGGAGTACTGAGACAACTGAAATACTAACATAGTCCTAGTAGACATCGTGGGAACCTAACTCTTGAAACTCAAGAGAATCACTGTTTATGATGATGTGTCCGAGTGAACAAGTCTACTTGAAGTAAGAGTCGCTATATAAAACAGTTGACGGAAGGTGAAAGCACAAGTACACTACACAATATTATGCAAAGATTGATTATTTTTTACAATTGTTCTAGTTGTTAGTCAATTACTTGATAGCCCCAAAACCACACCGTGTCGATGGTAAATCACATTTTGTTGGACTAAGCAGCCTAAAAGCCTAATTACGTGAAACTCGTCAACCTAAAGGTCTGCGAGGTATACACATATTTTGGGGGGAGGGAGAGGAGGTACTCGACAGTCGACAGTCTCAAAGTCCCTGCGAGTTTATGAAACTAAACGGATTAGGAAGTCTCAACTTTTTACCTCCGTTTGATCCGATCCGGTTTATAAACCTGTCAGCGGCTGACGTCAGTCGGAAACTAATCACTCTGACGTTGAGTTTCGACACTTAAAACAATCACGTCCAATTTCGCGAGCTTTTAGTGAGAGTAGGGTTATTTACTTAAAGTCCAGACAACGAAGATAAAAAATACCAAACAGAGGAAACAATGCGTGTACGTACCTCAAGGACGTTCTCGGACCAGTTGAAGGAGGCCAGGTACTGTGGCAAGTACTCCATCATCTGACCCTGGACGGCAGCCGAGGGGGTTGCTGATGTGCGGCGTTCTCTGCCTCCCCGAGCCGAGCCGAAGATCACTGCAACACACAAGCATGTTTTGCTAACATATTTTTATATGGACAATCGTTTGAATGAAAACTTTGCATAGAGCCAGGAACGTGAAGTCGATTTCGGATTATACATCATGCATACAGTAACCTGATTGTCAAACTTTCGTAAAAACACTCAAATACCATTAAAAGCACTTAACTACCGCTCTTGGTCATGAAGGCACTTAAGCTGTTGTTTGCTAGACGCGTAATAAATGCGCTGCGATATTGTTACGCTACGATTAGTTGTAGGTGGGACGCAGCTGAATTCATTTTATTGGTTTCCAAGACTGTGTAAGAAGATACGTGCGTAAGTACGCAGTTTTTTAGTATTGTTGAGCGGAGTGAAAAGAGATAAGTTCACACAAGAGATTGTGAAGGGCTGCTTTATTGTGTATGAGGAATGAAGATTTAGATGATTATGTTTTTGATATTTTAGAGAACTTAACTCCGAAGACGTGTTTTGATTTACACAAAAGAAGAGAAAGTGAGGGAGCGTATATAAGTTATTAGTTTGTAGTAGGCGTTATCAGCTAGACAGCGAAGTTGAGTTGAGAGAATACTTCTGATTAGCAAGGGGACAGTTTTATAAAATTCTAAACTAAAATATCATTAAAATATCTTCTTAAAATATCATTTATACTCCCACAAAATGTCGTATCCCGACAACTTTCAGATGAGCTCTTCATAAATCACTATAAGAAACGTTTACTTTTGTCTCTACACTTAATGTCGTGTTTGATCCATTGTGTTGGGCGCAAATGTTGTACGCAGCAAAGAGCGCCTGCTTGAGCGGCATGTACTTTTTTAAACTTTCCCTAAAATTACCATATTGTGATGTAAATGATTTAATTAATTTAGCTGGCATGTCAAACGCTGCTCCAACTTAATCCCACAGCTTACTTGTCAACTTAGTGTTCTTGAAGTGGTTGTCTTTATCATTCCACAATGATGAACGACACCGAACTTCACATACAGTATTACACTTTCAATTTGAGTCTCATTAAGCTTTTCAAATCAACAAAATATTGCCCTTTAAAAATATCATAGTTACTCCCACCCATGACAAAGGTTGTTGGCAACATAATGGGAGAAAGTGTGAGTTCAATTGCTGATACCTTTTATTCATTGATGTACACAATTATTTGATTGCAAAGAATGGAGTTTCTTTACGACATAAAATATTTTTTTGTTGCAAATTTGTACAGTATATAGAATATAACGTAAATACACAAGAGTTGTGTTAACTTTTCCGTTTGAACATGTTAAGTCAGTCTGTTAGTTATCTAAATGACTTTAAAGAAAACAAAATACTCCGGTACGTAAATTGCAATTAAAACACTACACCTATTAGCAATTAAGATCCTGCCTGACATCAACTGCACCATTTTGATTTGGATGGCAGTTTTAAAGTAGCAATAACGGTTTGATCAAAACAACATTTCCACCAACAAACATTGTAGGCAACACGTGCTCAATTAAAGGTGTATAGCGCCAGTTGGGGAGCGGTTAATCGCATAGTTCTGCTATGACACCATACAGAACGTTAACAAACTGTATAGAAGTTCAAGACCATAACAATTCTCAAAATACTTATCTACAATTAATTAATAAGTGTAATTAACGAATACTAGAAAATACCTGGTATGGATCATAAACATAAACAAATGACGTTTTTGGCCCGAAAGTAAACGTTATTTAACATTGTTTAAATGGAACTGTCTAAACCATATGTTAATGCTATTAGTATAGGATTCGGGCCAAAAACGTCATATGTTTATGTTTATGATCCATACCGGGTGTAATTAACTCACTTAATGAATTATCTCTTTATTCCAACAAATTATTTACAGAATATGTACACAAATATTTAAAGGAAGAAAAAAAACATAAGTGAATTTAAAAGAATAAAAAATAAAATTAACCTTTACATTACTATGTTTAAAAAAGCGTACATGTTAATAAGGAATAAGCCGACATGGGCCGACAGCCTGTGCGTCGATTGCAGTTGCGTCAAAACATAACATTATTTATCAAATGCAATAAATAAATAAATGACAGGGAATATGATGAGGTGAAAATATGATGTAAATGGAGTTACAATAAAAAATTGTGAGATGAATAGCTATTGTGAAAAATATTAGGTGGCATAACTAAGTCACTACTTGCTACTTTTATTAACGAGTTGTTAGTTAACCTTGGAAAATATTAACAAACAAATAAAACTGAACAATTTTTACGCTAATCGAAAATAACGGATACTCTATTGTTTATTTGTGTAACTTACCCATGTCGTTTCGGTAATAATAACGAACATATGTTAGGTATTTAACTAATTATCTGGTCTGTTTTGATTGCGGAGGATAGTGCAGTAGACTGAACCACTGACTAAAAACTATCGATAGTAAACGAATTAGAATTCAGCTGACAGTTATTGCTGGATTATTTACATTTGGAATTAACAAGTGACATCAATGTAGACGTCCTAAACACCAGCTGACGATTTTACGTCCAGAGCCATTGAGTATACGTGTAATGCATAGGGATAAACAAATCTACTTTGTCCCGGAAAGCATTATTGAAAACAGCAGATATGGAAGAAAATTACAATTCTTCAATAGGATTATGGGGAAGTTAATGATCATGGGGGATCAATACAATAAAATCTTTGAAGCTTTGGTGGAAATAAACAGTATTTGATCGTCATGAAATAAGTACCAAACACCTCAGCCATCAACTTGGCTAAAACATATGGACGTAATGAGTAAAATCAGGTAAGTCTACGAACCTTCTGTGTTTATAGCTAGATTCTATGCTATATGTAATTTCAGTGGACCAATTATAGCTCAATTTGAAAACTGTAAGTTGTACAACGTGCGAGCCTTCAAGTTAACAACTATTTACACCGAGACTTCATCAAATACCATTCAATTACTGTACACCTATCAGCTGCACCGGACCAAGTACACAGCTGATGAGTTTCTATTCGCCAAGAGCAAATTATTATTTCGCTTCGGACGCGGACAACCAAAAATTAGTGCAATCCATTTATTTCTCCAATCGGTATTGATTGCAGTACTCAAACTGAAATGGCGTTCATCGGCACTGGAATGTGAAAGGTTCATATTTGTACCAAAATGCAATCATGTAACAGGTGTTCAATACAACTTCTGTGTCCTCATTGACACAACGACCGAAATAATAACCGTTCACATAACAGCATCCATCGGAAAGTCCAAATGAAAGATCTGTTTTTAGCTGCAAAATTCTTAATTGGTTCTAGCAATCAATCTCCGAGGGATGGAATTTACCGATTTTGTGGCAGTAAGTAGATATAATAGGACAATATGACCCCACTTTCGGCGTTTTAGAGGCACTTTTAGGGCACTTTTTATAGGGGAAAAATGAGAAAAAAATGGAAGAGCTTTTTTTGGCCACTTTTTTCAAAGACCCAGCTCTCGACCTATACACCCCTATATAAATTTTCTACTTTTGTTAATACTAAAAATTACGTCTGGAAATGGTGAGCTTTTTTTGGCCACTTTTTTAAAGACCTGGATCTCGTCCAATACAAGCCTATATAAATGTTCAAACTCCATTAAAATTTCAAATCCACATCCATTCCCATGTATATTTTCAAAATCATGTGAGGTTTGTGCGTGAACTCGGGCATGCTCCCGGCTCATGATGTGCTCCCTTGGACATCCTTAGTGGAAATCCATGAGTTCTGGCTACTTGGGAACCCAAGCCATTTGACATACAACGAATCACCCTTTCTCCTAATTACCTTCTCTACCAAATACATGTCCTTATACTTGGTCTTTAACAACTCCTCTGTATAGAAGCCTCCCCTGATTATATTGCCATTTTCATCTTTCAAGATATAAGTCACAGGCTTTGTATTCTTAACTTCTGCTATTGTAAATAGTTCCCCTGTCCAATTTGGAGTATAACCTTTACTAAAAACATGTTTATACTTGGAAATCCTTACGCTATCACCTACCTTATATCTTGGCTTTTTAACTTGCACTACTTTAGAAGTCCTTTCATGCAACCTCTCATGCACATATTTACTATTCTTAACATTCACTTGGTTAGGCTTCATTCCTATAGATCTATGCACTTTATTATTATATTTTCGAATTAACTTTGGAAGTAAATCCAACCATTTATAACTCCCCTGAGCACTAAATTCTCTATATAACCAATTCTTTAAAGTTCTCTGAAACCTCTCCACAATTGCAGCCTTAGTTGTAGAAAATGTGTGATAGTGATTAATATTTAATTTTTTCATTAGTTTGCTAAAATATTGATTAAAAAATTCTTTTCCATTGTCAGATTGAATGTTTTTAACCCCCTTTGGTAGAATGGTTTTAATGGCTTCTGTAACCACTAACCCTGTCTTATTCTTTAGTGGAGCAGCATAAGCTTTTTTAGAAAATGTATCTATTAAAGTTAAAATATATTTATTGCCAGAATTTTCTCTAGCATAGTTTTGCATATCAACTAAATCTATTTGTATGGTTTCGTTTATACCCAATACTTTAAAAGACCTTCTAATGAAATTCTTTCTTGCAGGCTTATGAAGCTCGTATGCAATTTCATTCATTTTTTATAACATCATCCTTTCCTGTAACTCTAAATACATCACCATTAGCCCCAATCAATAGATTATCTTCCATTCTTTTAAATACATAGTTTTCTGGTATATATGGTCTATTATCTATATACTTAAATCCACTCAAAGATGTGGGGTCAGCAACTAATAAATCAGGATTATATTCCATCAAATTAAAATTTTTTTCTCCATATACAAATTTTGATCCATCGTAATGCATAGATTGTGACATTAGACAAATATCATCCAAATGTTCCCCCTCTGGTAGATTTCTTATAAATTGTTTTTTGGCATCCCAACATTTTTCTTTTTTATCAAAAGTTATAGTCTGTTCTTTTATAACACAGTCAGTGTCATCAATGGCAGGTTT